TAGAAGCCTGTTGCAATCATGGCAGAGATGACAGTGGCTAATGTGGCACAGGCTAGAAAGAGGCGTCGAGGACATTCCCTGGCATGTGGCTTCCGTCTTGCTTTCATCTTAAGCAGTGACTGAGTTTACTTGTAAAGAAGTTCGAGTTTCGTTCCTCCTTTTATAAAATCACTAGCACTCTTCTCAGAAGCCCTGTCTTTGAGGTCACTGCCTCCGCTCTCTGTCCCTACCTTCCCCTCACTCTTGCTGGAGGGAATAGACTGCCCCGGGTCACTCAGTTGCCCAGCCCCGAGTTTCTCCAAGACCCTAATTAGGACCCTGCTTCTGACATGCCTCACAGAGGTACCCGGTCCCTGTGCCTTCCTGGCAGGGAACCAGCACGTGGCTAGGCTGGGAACGTGGTGCTCACAGAGGGAGTGATTAAAGGACTTAATTCTCTAAGTAAATTCCACCTTTTGGCATCCCAGTGGGTAATTTTAACTTACTGCTTTCTTAAATTTCATCAAATGCCTCTTAAGAGTGCAGAAATCTGAATGTGGGCGGCTGGAGCTGACTGTTTGCCAAGATGCGAGGAGTACACACTGACAGCCTCGGGGGTTTTGAGCCCTGAGCTTTTTTATTGGTTTTTCATAAGGAGGTTTAAGGTGCAAGAGAAAGTACACAAGAGATGGAAACAGGTCAAGAAGGATTAACTTGGTGAAGCCGCCCATGGGGGAGATCAAAGGTTTTGCCCAACTAAGAAAGTGGGAAAACATGCCGGTTTTCCCTGGCAGCTGCCAAACTGAGCGAGGCTACAGCGTCTGAGTTCCTGTGACTCTTAAGACCTGGCAGGGCCAGGACCCCAGAGTCCCCACCCTGGGGCACTGGGGGAACACTGGCCTGGGACTTGGAGACCCTGGGTTTGTGTCCAGGCTCTGCCCCAGATTCTTATCAGGGATTTTCAGGAAGGCACCACCCCTGAACCTGTAAGAAAGTACAGTGGCACTTATCTACCTACCTCCCAGGGCTGTGAATTGTAAAGCTCTTTATAAAAAAAGACCATTATTCAGATTGTTATTTATCTTCACCACTAAGAATTGAATATTCCAGTAACCTCTTTGGCATAATAAAACAGACATAAAGCAACCACTGTTTTATTACTGTTTTGTTGTGCTCACAGTGACCTGCCCAGATTCCTGAAGGATAAACCAAATAAACACGGCCAGAAAATGAACTGGGGAAAAAAACAAAAACAAACAAACAAAAAAAGAAACAGAAAGTGAACTGGGGGTTGCCCTGAGCCCCCCAGGTTGGGGTAACAATAGCAGCTGAAACAATGGGCTCCTGGACAGACAGGCACAGAGGTTCTATGGGACAGCTCTCCTCCTCCCACTCCCCGCTCTCCCCCTCCCACCTTGAACTCGGGCACACAGACCCACAAGGTGGTGTCCTCTGCTCCATCCCCTCCCCAGCAGGTCCCTTGGCTCTCCCCTACCTCCTTGCTTCTCCAGAAAACACTTTCTAAACTTGCCTCAAGGTTGTTTCCTCTTTTCAATCCAAGTCTAGTTTGAATGACAGCTCTCCTGACATGTTTCTACTTTGCCAACATTCTCTGAGCTGGAACCTGCCTCACAGCCCAAATGCAGGACTTGTGTTGTGGCCTCAAACTCTGGCTCCGCCAGCTTCCAATCCAGACCCCCTCCTGGATATGTCCCCCAGCCCTGAGGTTGTCAAGGCCTCTCGGGACTAGGAGAGAGCCTCTATCTCACTTATACACCTATCAGAGTGGCTACAGTAAGAACAGTGACACCACCAAATGCAGGTGAGGACACAGAGAAACCACATTCTGGGTACACCACTGTACATGGGTAATAAAGTGACATCAAACTACCCACACACATACCAGGGTCAGCATCTGGCTTAGTGTTGACTGACTTACAGGAGTTTAACCACTTGGGGGCGCAGGGAGACAAGCAGAATGGTTCCTCTAACAACTGTACTCTCTGCCGTGCTGAGTGACCTGGGCAGAATAATGTCCCCAAGATGTCACCTCCTGGTCCTGGAACCTGTCAGTGTGACCTCATTCAGCACAAGGGACTCTGCAGATGGGATTATGTTAAGATGTTGAGGTGGGGTTTGGCCCTGGATTATCCAGTTAGCCCTAAATCAGTCCATCTGAGGGGCCTTGGGAGAAGGAGGGGAAGACGAGTCAGAGAGCTGGAGGCTCTCCCAGTGTCTTGTCCTCATGTCTGGTGCTGGGTTTGGGATCGTGCTGGCATTTCCACAGGTAAGGGTGCGCTGTTGCCTGGGTTTTGGTTTTATACCGCTTTGTGGTCAGGTTGATAAAGATGATTTGAATGCATCCCATTCTGTCACACTGCATTCATCTGGCCCCCATCCTGACCCACTGAGCCATCTGGATCCTGATTCTGCAATTTGGTCTTCCTGCCTCCTCCTGGCTGAAGGTCTAAGACATGAGCTGTGTGTGTCATCCAGGATGCTGACAAGAGGGTGCCCAAGTGGGGCATTCACTGGGCACTTGGCAGGCTGTCCACTGGGCACAGGCACAGGCAGTACCGGAGCACTTCACTGCGGCTCCTTCCCCGCCCCCCTCCCCCCATGGGCCATCATTCAGCACTAAGCCCAACAACCTAATCACTTACTTAGACATCTCCCTGGGCTCAAGTCACACTCACTGGCCTGGAGTTTATGGAATTCTGTCTTCCTTCCTTTGTTCAGATGACTCTTCTACAGGCTTTTCTATAATCGCTTTTGGACTGGCAGCCACAGTGGGCAACACTGCAGGGCAGCTTTGGGACATAGTTGAGTCAGGGCTCCTGACTCTCCCCAGGAGGAACCCAGTGTCCAGTACTGCACATTGTTGCAAATCTGGGGACATCTTCCAGTAAGCAAATGGTACATCGGTATCCTTGGCTCCTGCCACAGACTCTGCTCCATTTAGAAACTTCTGAGTGTAAGGCCCATCTGTGTCCTCCCAGGAGGCCCCAAATGGGATTTGGTGGTTGTATTTGATCTCAAGCCGACAATGCCACTTTTTTTCTTGGAACATTTATCATGTCTCATGAGGCAATGGTTTAAGACCATCCATCACTCGCACCTCAGAGCCAGAACGGAAGCTGCAATACTGAGGGCTCTGGCTGTGAAGAATTCCATTCAAACTGGAGATTTTTTAAAATATATTTTATTGATTCTCTACAGAGAGGAAGAGAGAGGGATAGAGAGTTACAAACATTGATGAGAGAGAAACATCAATTCAGCTGCCTCCTCACACTCCCCACTGGGGACATGCCTGCAACCAAGGCACATGCCCCTGACCGGAATCAAACCCGGGACCCCTCAGTCCGCAGGCCGACGCTCCATCCACAGAGCCAAACCGGTCAGGGCCAAACTGGAGATTTTCTCACTGTGGACATGGTACTAAGCACACGCCTGTCACTTTCTGCCTTGGGTTCATCTATTCTTTTATTATTATTATGTTTCATCCTGATTTCTCCAGGTGAGCCAGAGTAACTTCATTGTTGGAAAATAACAAATTTCCTGAAGCAGCCCCAAACCTCTAGCTGCACAAGAAGCCTGCGCTCACTCGGGGACTTGCAGAACTGCAACCCTTCATCCCCAGGATTATTACCGGGCAGCAGACAGCCTGAGGGCACCATAAATCTGAAACACCATCTGTCTGGGGAGGGAGAGTGGAGGGCTGTAAATGCTAAGGCCATGAATGGGAGCAATTTCCAGAGCAAGTTTCTTCCTGTTGTGCAAGGTTAACATTTGTTCAGCCTTCAGTGTTCGCCAACTCAGATCTGTCACCTAAAGGAGCCCCCCAGACCTGGAAGCTTCTCCACTTAGTGATGCAAACGTGGACACCTGCAGTGCCTGGGTTTGGGTGTGATCTCATTGGGGTGACTCCTCTGAACTGCCTTGTTCAGACGACCAGCCCTTGTCAAAACTGGCCTCCTGTCTCTGGGGAGGGGTGAAGGGTTGTGAGGATCTCTGCTGCTGAGCTGAAAGGCGGGGGATCCTGACTATTTCTGATGCTGCAAGGCTGTAGGCAGGTGCCCTGGTCTGTCCAGTCTCACCTTCCTCCCCCCTGGGTTGGGAGGACTCATGCATGAAGGGACCACACAGGTGAGTCCACAGGTGGTGCCACACAGGGAGCCTGTGGCTCTACTTTCTCCCCTTCCTTGGCAGACTGACCAGGTGTGTGAAGAATAGGGAAATGATTTTGTGTATTTTTGTTTATGGTCGGGACAAGAGAAGCTTAAGAAGCCAAAGAGAAACTACAGTCCTGGTCAAGGAGACTAAGTCAGCAGGGAAGGACTGCTGCTGCCTGCTGACCACGGCCCGCTGCACGCCCTGAAAATGATCCGGGAGCGCCACTGGGTGCCGGTCGAGGATGCGCCTGTGCCTTGGATCCCCCCAGGACTGCCTGGCCCGAGCAGTGGTGTCCATTCTCTCCTTTGTACATCATTATATACTGTCCTCCTTCTAAATCCCTCTCCTGAATCCCAGAGCAGCCCTCTGTGCCGGAGTTACGTCCCACGTGAGAAAACGATAAACCAGCAGGACCCTCTCTCCAGGGGGTGCAGAGTGCACCAGGTCTCCCAGGGCGGGTACTCCAGAGCCTCTCCGCGGTGCGACCCTCGCTGCGAGCCCTGCACCCTGGGAGAGGTCGCCGGCGCGGGTGGGGAGGCTGACCGGTGCAGTGGCGCAGAGGGGGCACACCAAGCCTCATGGACACCAGGCGCCAACGTCAAGCACCTAACACTACGGGCTGGAGGTAAAGGGACCGAGCACCATCTGTGACCCGCCCCTTCGGCCTGACCAGGCTCCGCCCCTTCCTCCCCCAGCCTCCTCTCCTCTGAGGATCTGTCCCTTCACACTCGTGCCCGGCCCAGTGGCTCTGCTGTGGGAGATGGAAGCATCAGCCTCACCCTGTATAGCAGAGGTTCTCAACCTTCTTGGGTCCCCAGGGCCGGTGCCTGGTGCAGCCGGGGGACCCGATGGCCTTTCGCGCCCTGGTGACCCAGTGCCTGGTGTGTGTGCCTTGGGACGCACAGCCACCCCCCGTCGCCCCGGACTTTCGCCAGGTGGGCTTCCCGGGGACCCTGGTCGGGCCTGCGGGGTGGGGTGAGGGCCGGACGCTGTCGCCCTAATGCTCCCGGGCACCTCCG